GTAGAAACTAAAAAATCACCTGATTCGTTCTCGAATATTTCTGCGAATTTTGCGATAAAGGAACAGAACATTTCTCTTTAATTTTTAATTAATATTTTCTCAACTTTTGTTTAAATAACTAATGCAAAATTAATTATTTATGAAATGGAATTTTCGCTATAGAGAAAAATGTAGGAATTTAGATTTCATAATTATGGTGCCTTCGAAGTTACAGTGATGAACGTATCGTAAAATATTCCTCCTCAGAGCAGTTCTGAAAGCATATTTCTAGGATTAATATTTAAGAAAATGAATTATGTCATCTTTTCCGGAAACACTACATATATATCCTCAGAGGAACAAACGTTCATTTACAAATTCACTGTCAAAGAAATCAACCATGAAAACACATCTCTTTGAAATTTGTAGGCTTTTAAGTGCTTCAATTTTCAAAACTCTCAATCTGATATTTGTAAAAGGAAATCTTATACACCAAATATTTTCAGATACTTTACATTTTTTAATGTAATACTACTTAAGTGCCTTTTAATATCTCAACTATATCTGTAAAATGCTCTCACTTCGTTCGCATCGATAGATATACAACGCTTCTGAAATGTGCATTATTTGAAATATTTTAGTACTAGCGGAAGTACCCGATGCCAGTTAAGTTAGATTGAAAGTAATGTATCAAACAGATAAACGATACGCTGTATCCTACTTAATAACGATGCAAAAAGTACGATTCATAGTCATACATTTTTCAGTCTGATGCGATATGGAACCCACATACAAAATTTCAATAGAAATATAAACTAATTCTTTGGCAATTCAGCAACAATAAATTCAGCAACAATGGCGCACAGATTTTAATGACTTTCGTCTTTATAACCAAATGATCGTCAAAGCTCAAATTCCATAATATATTTCACCTATATTCAAAAAAACATTTGTCATAATTGACTAAGACATTGATCGTAACTGATCAGATATCATTAACACAAACAAATACAAAAATATACAAACATATAGATTTTGTAAACTTTAGAGAGATTTTGTAAACTTAGAAATTTTTGATTAGCAAACTCTACGATTTGAAAAGCGAGCAATAGCAACACTTTTCGAAATAAAGCATTTTTATCTCCAACGCCAAACTGTGCCACAAGGAAATGAGCGAGAAATTAGTGTTCTCAGAGTTTTTTCATAATAACTCAGTGATTAAAGTCGTACTAAGATGGAATGTCGATTTTCTTCCCATGATTTTTTTGGAATCGGGAACATGTATTAAGTTGGGCAATGCTATTTTATTTCATGTAAACTTAGAATTTTTATTAGCAATCTCACGATTTGAAAGCGCATGGCAACACTTCTCGAAAATGGCAGATTTTATCTCCAGCGGCGAGACGTTGCCACTCGAAAAATGAAGGCGAAATTAGCGTTTCGAGCTTTATTATATCTCTGATTCAGCTACTTTTTTGAAAAAAGGGGTCGTGATTTTTTTTCAGGACCAGAAAGAACTGCAGACGTTGGTGACGATAGCTATGTAGTACGATTTATCACAACACAACAAACATTCCTCTTTATATATATACATCTGCATTTTCACTATTTGATTCTTAACTTTAGGTATTCTTATAATAATAAGAAAATACTGTTTATGACGTCTTTCACTGAATTTCATATTTTATTATAAGCTTTTATTTTGCACATTTTTGGGGTATTGAGAAACTGCTATCATATTTTATGTGTTCTCACAGTTTTCAAATGCATCAATTCTAAATGTCTGTATTTTAAGCAAATTAGACAATATTATTATAATTTCATAAGTTTTCACAATAGCCATTTATTATTTGAAGGGGGGAGTTTATTTTAAAAATGTACTTTAACATTCTTTTTAATACATATATAATATATTAATATCTTATTTATCAACAACTTATAATAATTTAGAAAATCTAATCTGCAATTATAAATACATATATTACAGTCCAAAACACAATAACTGCTGTCTTGAGTGCAAATTTTATCATTAGTAGGCATAAACAAAAAGTAAAAATATATAAATTTCTTTCATATGTTTACAAGGTAAGCAATAAATTGTATTAGTTTTGATACACCTTTATTAAGGTTCATTTGGAAACTAGAAATTAATTTATATATAAACTTTTACAACTGGCTTTACAAAGAATATACAAACAAATAAATACACTCATATTTACATTATTTCTTCTCTAGTTGAAGAGGCTTTATGCATTCTATTAATGCTTTGCAGAAGAAACACTCTTTATGACTCAATAAGTGAAGAGATATGCATGATCTAAAAATATTTTACAAGACATTTATATATAAATATATATAATATGTGCAAATTACTTTTAGAAAAAATAAAAATTAGAAATGTTACCTGCATGATTGGTGTTGACAAGGATGGAAACGAGCTGACTTGGGATTTGCATAACAGATTGTACAAACAAGATCATCATCAATTTCTTCCAAACCTCTGTTTTGTTGAGCAATATCATATTTGGAGTGTAACAACTGAATGAGATTTTCAACTTTTTCTATTTCTTCCTTACTAACTTCTTTGTCTGTAATTATACAAATAAACAAAATGTATATATAGAAATATAGAAAAAACAGATAAGAAACTATGACTACAACAACAGTATGAATTTTATATGTATGCAATGGACTTTCTAGAATTTTCCATACTTTTCATCCATATCCATAAAAGAGAAACATGTTACATGAAGTTTTAAATTTGTTCAAATGTTAAATTAATTGGTACCACCAATCTATTGAGAGGATGTTCAACTCACATTTTGAGTGCCTCATTACCATACAGATAGTATGCTTATAAACACCCATGGCCTCTCCAGTATTTGAACCCAGAACAATTGGCATCATTAACAACTAATGCTGGCTGGACAGCTAAGAGAATTATTTCGATTAATGATATACATGCATATAGTATTTATATTTTTTTATCTTATTCCATTTTTTCAGGTTATATTTGAACACCTTGGGGAAAATTATACTTTTTTAAGCATAAAAGTTTATAATGGCCATTTCTTAAAATTTATATTGTCCTAGTGTCCTAGGAACTACTATGCAAGGAACTACTCTATAAGGTCTATAAGGTCTTTTTAATTTTTTTTTTTTTTTTTTTTTTTTTTTTTTTTTACAAGGCACACTCTTGTTTTAGGAGATTATAAAAATTCTGTTGTCATTCCCTTCTTTCCATCAATTAGCTATAAAGTTGCACATATTTTTTTTTACAGAAATTTAACTTTCAGGTCATTCTCCCATCAATAAAATTCCGAGTTCCATACTTAAGGACCCCATTCCAAATATGAATTCCTGGGGTATTTACAGGATTCCTTGCCAATGTGGTTTATTTTACATTGGTCAAACTAAGATAGCTTTAAAATTTCGCGTTAACGAACATGAGGCATATGTTAGAAAAAAGGAAACTCAAAAGTCGGCATTGTTATGAAATCACACTTTCAATTTTTCTGCAGCCAAAATTATTCAAAAAACATCTTCCATTGGTGAACTGGATTTTCTAGAGGCATTTCACATTCAAAAAAATCTTTCTATTATAGTTAACGACCCTAATTCCAATCCATCTTTGCTTTCGGCAAGGTTTGTACACATTTCTGCACACGGAAATTAAGTACTTTTAAGAACCATTAATGAAAAAAATTAAGGACCTGTGAGCAAATGGGAACTGAATAAATTCAATTAAAAATATTATCTATGCCTGAATTTCACTTTTGTAATACCATCCTAAAAATAAAATAGATCCCTATGTAGTATGCATTATTACTAAACATGAATTAACATAATTATTAATGAGTTTGAGAATAAAATAAACTTTATGCAATTTATCAAGTAGCATTAAATATTTTACGCTTATAACACTTGGACATATTTGAAAGAAGATAAGTGACATTTACGTTTTACTAACAGTAGCTTTATGTTGATTTTTTTTTTTATGCTTCGTAAATAGCAGGTAGATTTTTGTCAAACGGCATAAGTTAAAATAAGAAGTAAAATCATAATCAGCAAGATTCACAATAAAAGACGATGTTGCACCGCTGCTGCTAATGCCTAGAGAGGAGACCTGCTGAATTATAAGAAACCTGAAAGGCCTGATGTAGGCACAACTGGCAAGTGTTTGAAAGATCAATTGGGCTCTGTCTGATGCAGTTAGTGTTAAAGCTTTGTGTAGAGTTCCAGAGGGGTTGTAGCCCAATTAATATACTTTGAGGTCCCAGTAAGCCACTAAAGCACAAGAGGTGATAAATTGTTTTGTATTATTTTAAGTCTCAATAGATGCAAAGAATACGTTTTACTTGAATTTTTACATTTTTGTATTTTATCTTGTGATCACAGTGGATTGGATTGGATTATTTATGGCAAAGCACACGAGGGCTATCTGCCTAAAGGGAGGGATGCCTTCATGGAGGACTTTCTAAGGGAAACTTGCTCGTATACACGTTACAACCATGAAAACGACAATGCAGCCAGCCCGTTCATGGGATTCGAACCTCGGACTGAACTACCAGTGTTCAACATCTTTACCGCTCGGCCACTGGTAGGCCTGACCGCAATGAGTATTAATGAAAGGCAATAACTCGCTTTAACATGGACAGAAAAGTTTTAAGCGTAAACAGTTAGTTATCGATAATTAAATTAGGTAGGCTGAAATCATAAATAATTGGGTAATTTATATAACAATAACTGCACATATCTTTGAAAAATAATTTTCTTTATGTATTTAGTTTCTTTCTTCAACACACTTTCCTTTTCATTTTAGAATTTTTGGTTTTAATTAAGGATTTCTGTTATTCTAAAAAACACTAAATGCACATTAGAACATGTATAGAAAAGCTGCTAATATTATTTCTTTAGCAATATGAACATTCAGAAGAATTATGAAATATATATGGTTAAGGGCTGGTTATAAAGCTGGTGTAGCAGAATTTTTAGAATTTAGTAACATACCGAGCAACAAAATCTTGAAATGTCATAAAACTTTTAGAATTTAGAGCAGGCACTTGGAAGCACATTTTAGGAAGGCACTTTAGGCAGCAGAATTTAGAATCCACAGAGATATTGCATCAAGTGAGAAAATGCCCAGCGCCAGCTCTGTGTATGAATGCATTAAGGCATGTTAGATGAATCTTTTAAATTGTCAGCTTTCAATTCCTTTATAAATAATAAAAATTCATTTCTATAACGCCTGTCCATGTGATAAGATTAGAAGCACTTTGATATTTTCCATGCTTGTGTCTAGAGAAATAGTAGAGAAAATAAAGGGAAGATAAACATGTTAAGATTCTAGTATCAGAAGTAAAACATTCAAACATTATGTTTTCATTGTTCTTCCAGAAGTTCTCCAAAAAGTAAGAAATTCATTGCAAACTTTCTGTAAAATACATCAATTATGAGTTGATACCATGGAGACATTTTTCATTTTATCACATATTTCTCGAATCTTCTAGAATCGCGGCTCTATAAATGTTGCCTTCAAATCTTTCTAAACTTTCCAAGCTGCAATGACTAAAATCCTAAAAAAAAAAAATTATCCCTGCCAATTTTGTAACAGCAAAAGGCCAGAAATAGTTTGGAAAAAATAAGGGAGGGGGAAAAGTGTAAAATTAGAGAAAAACTGATGCATATTCTAAGAATTCTAAATACTACGAGACAATTACATGGGAAAAACTCTTACCATGAAAAAATTAAAAAGAAGACATTTTTAATTAATTACATAACTAATTTTGCTTTTGCTAAGAGTTGTTTCGTAAATTGTGCTTTATAATATTATACCTTGTTTATTTCTCAGATTCAAAATATTGTATAATAAGTTGCCAAAATGAAACTTTATAATATGACAGGGGAAAAATAAAAATGTTTTTCTTAATATTACTTTTTAAATATAATTTCAATATATTACCATTATTTTTATGAAATTTTTTAATGTTAAGATGTTTAAAAAAAAAAAAAAATCGTCGAAAAATTCTCAGATCTCGGAATTAAAAATTTTCTATAGAAGCTGATCTTAAAATCGCCAAAATGTTGATAAGTCGCCAAATTTAGAACCGTTTAATAAAAGAATTCACATCCCAAAAGCGAAAAGTTGTTTAAGGGCTCTTTATTAGAAAAAAAAAAAAAAAAAAAAAAATTTTGCTATGCTTATGTTTCACTTCTTGCTTAGAATTTCGAGTATCCCATCACTTTTATATTAGAAATAGAAACAAACTATAACCCATGAACCCATTCAAAAGATACATCAGTGAATCGCCAAATATATTCCTCCAAACTGCTAATTCACACTCAAAATAGCAGTCGTAAAAACAGACAAAAATTTCAGAAGATTAAAATTAAGGACTGTCTGCTGATTTTGGCCAAAATTAAGGACTTTTAAGGACAAAAAATCGATTCCAAAATATTTAAGGACTTTTCCAGACTCTTAAGAAACGTACGAAACCTGCTTCAGCCTTTTAACGAATTTTGTTTTAGTTATAGTTTCACCAGCAGATGGCGCCAGTAGCTTTACGCTTATCCGTTCTTTCTTATCTTTTTTCATCTAATCACAATATCTTATCTCGTTCATTTGAGCTTTTGCAGCTGAGGATGGTGGCTCGGTAAAAATATCAAAACTAGTCCTGTGAAAATTTGAAAATATAATGCTGATTTTTGTTGTTTGACTAAAATAGAAACGTATATAGTTTAAAAATCTAGCTATGGGTACTACAGTCAAAAGTTGTTAATCCGGACCTCAAAGCTACAAACTTTCTGCGCATGCATCAACACATAATGCATTCACGCATGCGCATAGGCGTTTACGCATGTAATACTTTTATGCATGTGCGTTTAATGTATAACGGATGGTATAAGATAAGCTAAAATGATCTAATTATCTATTTCAGTTAATGTTGCAGATTGCATTGTTCCTTAATCCTCGAACTCGATCCGGCTTATTATTTTTGCAGACTGTTAGAGCAATTTTATAAAAGTAAGCTTGAACTTTCGATTATGTCAAATAGAATTTCTGATGCTGGAGCTGCCAAAGGATCTACAAAGCAAAAGTATGTTTCGATGTCCATCAAACAAAAAGTGGAATTGCTGCAAAAAAATGGATAAAGGCATATCCTTTGTTTCTCTAACCATTCCGAAATCTGTTAATCAATTTCACGCTGCTCGGAGGGGGGGGACGTCGTGGCGCGCAATAAACTGGAAGTTGATCTGTCAGCACTATCCTTGTCTTCAGGGCAGATGTTTTTATTTTATTCAGCTTATAATTCCTTACTAAATGTAGTATTTCATCTCGATGTATTCCATCTTTGATATGATTTAAATCAAATTCCTCGTCATTATAAATATCACGAGTACAGATCAAATAGTTTTCTGGTTGCAATTTTCTAATTTCGACTATGTGTAATGTATGCTTTAAGCATGCGCGCATTGAAAGAAATTTTTAATAAAGTAAACAAATAAATATTAAGCTTTTTTTTTTTGTAAATTTTGATACTCTTTAGATCATAATTGCTCTTTATTTCATAAATTACGGTTTCATGTTTTTAATTTTATAATTTCTGTATGCCATCTTACAAGATTTAAACTGATGATCTATAATCCGGAAAAATCGATAATCCGGAATTGCCGAAGTCCCGACGAGTCTGGATTAAAGACTTTTGACTGTATAGTGTTTAACCTCTAAAAAATTATGATACAATAAAAAGTAAAATATAGCCCAGATATTATTTTAGAAATATCGAATATGAATTAAAAAGCAGTACATAAACAAACACAAAAGTTCAACTACGAGAAATTCATTTATAATTTCTCTCAAACAATATTTTCAAGAAAATAAAATAACCTATATTTTACTAAAGAACCATAATTACTAATTGCATTTGATAGGCATTTAATAAATGAATAATATTTAAATTCTTAATTATGTTAACTTTCACTTACAATCTCTTAAAGAAAATGGTTTGAAGTTTGGAGCTCCAGGAGATGATCCTAGCAAGAAGTCTAAAGATGAAGGTTGGAAACTTGGTTCAGACAAAAGAGCATTTACTGCCTTTTTCTGACTGAAAATAAAGACTAAAATAATGAAAACTATATAAAATGATCAAAAATGAGTACAATACACTTTACTCATGTTAGGCAATATTCTTATTCTATACAATCAAGTACATAATATGAAAAAAAATGCAGGATCTCACTTTTGGATCCTTAATAAAATTTTGGGGGAAAAAATGAAAATGCTATGTCAGTTTTATTGGGTGTGCGAATAAGTTTAGAGGGATTTACATAAGATGGCGTTACTACTATTAAATCCTATCAGACAATCTTGTAACTACTATATTTATGTTAAAGCGCCAGCATTTCCATCTAAATATCAGTTTATTTCATTTTGCTGAAGTGTAAATAAAATAACTTTCTTCGTTCTCAGCACATGTAAACCTTTCTAACAACAACAAAAAAAAGGGGGGGAGGGCAGGAAGAGCCTTTTTTGTGGGGGGAGGGAAGAAAACAGAAGCTAATATGTATCTATTCCTATGTGGAGTATATGGGGAACATGCTAAAAACATGTGAGTACTGGTTCCGGTGCTTTAAAAGTGGCAATTTTGACACCAGCGATAAAAAATGCAAAGGGAGGCTAAAATTTGAAAACACATAGTTGGAGGGGTTATTGGACCAAGATTCATGCCCCATCACTGGGGAACATTACAAACAACAGTTGATGCAACTGAGCTGAGCACTGAAGCTCAAACGCTCCCTCATCCCCAATATGCCAAAAGATATGACAAAGTGATCTTTCAGCATGACAATGCTCACCCGCATGCTGCAACATTTGTCAAGGAAACTCTGGAGGTGCCTCAAATAGGATATCCAACACCACCCACCGTTTTCATCAGACATTGCTCCTTCTGACTTTCACTTGTTCCAATCGATGACTCATGACTTCACTGAACAGCACCTCACTTCATACGAAGAAGCAAAAAATTGGATTGGTTCTTGGATCGCCTCAAAGGACGAATATTTTAAACGTGGAGTCTGTATGCTACCTGAAAGATGGGGAAAAGTCCTAGCCAACTATGGGCAATACTTTGAATAAAACACATTCTTCCAATTTCTCGGAATAAAGCTTCAAAGTTACAAAAAAATAAATAAATAAAATAAAAAAAACCACCTCAAAACTGATTTGTACACCCAACAAGATTAATCCATAAAATATAATTTTTGTTTCTCTGATGATATTCTTATTTCAAAAACACTTCAGAATCAAATACAGCAATTAACCCTCTGGCTGCTTATCCCGCAATTTCCACGGGCAACTCAAATGTAGCAAAATCTGCTCATCCCGCGATTTCCGCGGGCATGTGTTTTTCTTCCTTTATTGATGAGCGACCCCTGTTTTTTCCCCATTTGACCACTGAAATAAATTATATACAGTATTAGACATTTAGTTTACGTTTTGGACAACAAATATCGTTAGTTGTCCGCTAAATTGGGGCGTTGAAGGCACGTGGTATTACCGTTCAAACACGACATTTTGCTGCTTTTTTCTTACACAAATGGCCGCTCGAAAACATTCAGCGATTATCTTGATTATTTAATTAAATTATTGAATTCATAATTAGATTTTTGATTAGATTAATAATTAAATTGATTATTAATTAGATTTATTGAATCTCGTGCAAAAACTGTGAAGTTGGACTTTGCCTTGAACCACGTTTTGAACTCTATCATACTAAATTGCATTTTTAATGTATTTTTTCCCTCAGTGCTTTATATTTTCTTAAATTTTATTATTCTACCTTTTATATTGTGCAATAAATAGAAATTAACTGTAATTCGACTGAAATTTATTTTAAAAAAATTTTTTGGGTGATAACATTTAAAAATTGGTATTTCTGGCAACTTAGTTTCTCATGATAAAAATCTATATAAAAATATTTTCTAGAAATAAAAAATGCATTTTTCAATTCTCCAATATATATAGATTTAAAATTTGCAAAAAAAAAAAAAAAAAAAAAAAAAAAAAAAAAACTTTTTGAAGCAATTTTAGTCTACAAATTGAGCAGTCAGAGAGTTAATAAATACTTTCCTTTAATAAAATGAAATAAATCTGTGTTAATCCTAATATGCCTGTGTGACAGATCACACCGAAATGAGAAAAACTGTGTGTGCTGTCCCTGCAAGTCACGGTTTCCAAGCTTTTACAACGTGTCACACAACATGGTTTTGACGTTGCAGATGCAATAATTCACTTCAGTTGACAGTTCAAGAGAAATGACTTTACAACCAGTGCCAAGAAATTTTAGCATTCTGCACTGTGTCTGTCATCAAAGCCTCCCAATTTCAGGAGGGCTGATGAACCAATGATCTTGTTTTTCCTCCGATATCGTTCCAGATATAACGAATCAGAAGATGTAAAATACTACTGAAAAATTAAGGAGGCATGGCTAATTTCATCTAAAGATTTTTCCCATTGGAACAACACATCAGAATGCTCCTGAACCCTCGACTAGAGAGACTCAGAATGCTCTTGAACTCTCAACTAGAGAGACTCTCGTTATCAGATCCTCATATCACAAGGACTTTAATTCACTTCAGTAACTGTTCTATGCTATCCCTGAAATATATCTATTTGTAAAGAGCTTCTCGTAATTGTAATAAATATGTGTTGAGTTTAAAATGCAGTAAGTATTATGCAACCTCCTAAATGTACTAATCATTATACGAAGTCAGATGTGCTATCTGCCGCCATTCAACACAGTGGTAACCCGGACGTGATATAAACACATAACCTTCTGATCTGAAGTCAGAAGTGCTACCTGCTGCCCATTACCTGCAGTGATAACCCACACATGCATGGAAGATCGGTGCAGGCCATGGAGACGTATTATGTAGTGACGGGCCTTGCTAACTGCTAAGCTTACATCCCAGACAGAAGTCACAGGGACAACACCCAAGGAGGGGAGGGTATTCTGAGGGTCGCCTACCCCTCTTTCCTTATCATTAACCTCTCAATAGTACTCCAGTTCACTGTGTATTTTGAATGCCCCCTTGATACTCACATATTATAAACTTGAAAACATCCATGCCTTCTTTGGGATTCAAATCCAGGCATTTCAGTACAATCAGCATTAATCATCACTATTTTATCACAGTAGCTTCGAACACTGTAGCAAAATTATGATAAAGAGGTTTTAATTACAGCAAGTATCAGATTAGCATAGGCCTGTGTGCTCCTGCACTTAGGCTAGTATAGAAAAACTTTGTTAAATTTGCATCTTAACATGACAACTGCCTAATTTTGTGAGGATAGTATGCAATTTTCTCTCATGCATGAATCTGCTATAAATTCCTGAGTGCCATTCATGATAAGGGGAAATTTTCATATTAAACTGTAACATGAGATACTTCCCATAATAAAGGCTAAAATCTAATTATCTTTCTACAGTTGTTAAACATCAGTATGATGAAGAAGTCAAACAACAAAAATCAGCGTTATACCTACAAAATTTTCACAGGACTAGTTTCGATGGTTTTACCGAACCATCATCTTCAGCTGCAAAACCGCAAATGAACAAGATAGGAAATAATGATTAGATAAGATAAGAAAGCCTGGACAAGAATAAGCAAGTGGCGCCATCTGTTCGCGAAACCAGAACTAAAACATAATTTCTCTAAAAGCCGAAGGCAAATTTGGATTGGAATTAGGATCGTTAACTAGAACAGAAAGATTTTTATGAATGTGAAATGCCTCTAGAAAATCCAGTTCTCCTCCAATGGAAGATGTTTTTTGAATAATTTTGGCAGCAGAAAAACTGAAAGTGTGGTTTTCGGACCAACAATGTTGAGCAACAGAAGACTTCTGTGTTTCCTTTTTTCTAACATATGCATGTTCTCTTGTTTTGACGCAAAATTTTAAGGCTTCTCTTAGTTTGGCCAATGTAAATTAAACCACACTGGCAAGGAATCCTGTAAATACCCCGGGAATTCATATCCGGAATGGGGTCCTTGAGTATAGAAGTTGGAATTTTATTGATGGGAGAATAAACAACCCGAAAGTTAAATTTCTGCAAAATATGTGCAACTTTATAGCTAATTGATGGAAAGAAGGGAATGACAACAGAATTTTTATAATCTCCTAAAATAAGAGTGTGGCTTTTAGTGTGTTGAGATGAGAATTTTTTAACTGTAAAAACTTGTATTTAATAATGTTGGGTGAAAAGCCCCTGTCAATAGCTACTTGCTTTTAAATAATTTAGTTCTTCATCAAGGGCTAGTTTGGAGGAGCAAACTTGAAGAGCACACGGAAAACATAGGAATAAAATGAAAGCTAAACTTTTGTTTAGTCGGATGACATGATTTAAAGTGTGGTGGAAGGCAAACCGATGAAGGTTTACAGGTAAACTGTAGTACTGAAGTTGGATGTGTTACGTGTGACCAGAATGTCGAGAAACGGAAGAGAATTGCAAGTCTCAAGTTCAAAAGTGAACTGAATAGCAGGATCAATAGAATTCATTGTTGAAAGAACTTTATTTAAATCATCTTTATTACCTTCAAACAGGGTAAAAGTAATCGTCTACGTACAGCGGAACCATGCCGGGAAGTTTAAAGTTTCAAACAATTTTGATTCATAATAATGCATGTAGATATCAGCCAGGATGGGACTGAGGGGCTTCCCATGGCTAATCCCTCAGTTTGCTTGTAATATTTATTTTGGAAAACAAAATGTGTTTGTTTCAAACAGAGTTGAGTGAGAGAAATGAGCTCATCAATTTCGATGCAAGAGAAATGAAATTCGCGAAGTCTGGTTTCTAGACATCTTAATGCACCCTCCACTGGGACATTGGTGAATAATGATTTTACATCAAAAGAAACCATGAGTAAATTACTAGGAGAAATGTTTTTAACCTTTTTACAAACTCTATTGAATTTTTTATGGTGTAAATGTTATTGTCTAATAGAGTGGAAAATCTAGAAACTAAATATTTAGCTAAAGGATACGAGGCAGTACCTAAATTTGATACAATAGGGCGGAAAGGAATACCACTTTTATGAATTTTGGGAAGAGCATATAATCTGGCACAATTCGCAACAGATGGGATAAGCGAATGTTTTAAGTTGCTTGTGGCTGCTGTGCCTTAATTTTGAGGGGGAATACACCAGGAGGCAGTCCAAGGCTCACCAACCCCTCCTTCCTTTCTACCAAGTTCAGTCTCTTGAGAGGATTTTCAGTTCACCTTGTATCTTGAGTACCGCCTTTGCTGCACAGACATTATGCACTTTCAAACATCCATGTTGGTTGCAGGATTAGAATATGGGTCCATTAAGTATGGCAGTCAGGATTACTAACCATCATACTGATTCAGAAGTCAAACAACAAAAGTCAGCGTTATACCTACAAAATTTTCACAGGACTAGTTTCAATGGTTTTACCGAACCATCATCTTCAGCTGCAAAACCGCAAATGAACAAGATAGGAAATAATGATTAGATAAGATAAGAAAGCCTGGACAAGAATAAGCAAGTGGCGCCATCTGTTGGTGAAACCAGAACTAAAACATAATTTCTCTAAAAGCCGAAGGCAAATTTGGATTGGAATTAGGATCGTTAACTAGAACAGAAAGATTTTTATGAATGTGAAATGCCTCTAGAAAATCCAGTTCTCCAATGGAAGATGTTTTTTGAATAATTTTGGCAGCAGAAAAATTGAAAGTGTGATTTTCGGACCAACAATGTTGAGCAACAGAAGACTTCTGTGTTTCCTTTTTTTCTAACATATATGCCTCATGTTCTTTGACGCGAAATTTCAAGGCTCTCTTGGTTTGGCCAATGTAAATTAAACCGCACTGGCAAGGAATCCTATAAATACCCCAGGAATTCATATCCGGAATGGGGTCCTTGAGTATAGAAGTTGGAATTTTATTGATGGGAGAATAAACAACCCGAAAGTTAAATTTCTGCAAAATATGTGCAACTTTATAGCTAATTGATGGAAAGAAGGGAATGACAACAGAATTTTTATAATCTCCTAAAATAAGAGTGTGGCTTTTAGTGTGTTGAGATGAGAATTTTTTAACTGTAAAAAACTGTTTTAATAATGTTGGGTGAAAAGCCCCTGTCAATAGCTACTGCTTTTAAATAATTTAGTTCTTCATCAAGGGCTAGTTTGGAGGAGCAAACTTGAAGAGGACGGAAAACATAGGAATAAAATGAAGCTAACTTTTGTTTAGTCGGATGACATTATTTAAAGTGTGGTGGAAGGCAAACCGATGAAGGTTTACAGTAAACTGTAGTACTGAAAATGGATGTGTTACGTGTGACCAGAATGTCGAGAAACGGAAGAGAATTGCAAGTCTCAAGTTCAAAAGTGAACTGAATAGCAGGATCAATAGAATTCATTGTTGAAAGAACTCTATTTAAATCATCTTTATTACCTTCAAACAGGGTAAAAGTATCGTCTACGTAGCGGAACCATGCCGGGAAATTTAAAGTTTCAAACAATTTTGATTCATAATAATGCATGTAGATATCAGCCAGGATGGGACTGAGGGGGCTACCCATGGCTAATCCCTCAGTTTGCTTGTAATATTTATTTTGGAAAACAAAATTATTTAAAAGCAATAGCTATTGACAGGGGCTTTTCACCCAACATTATTAATCAAGCAGTTAAAAAATTCTCATCTCAACACACTAAAAGCCCCACTCTTATTTTAGGAGATTATAAAAATTCTGTTGTCATTCCCTTCTTTCCATCAATTAGCTATAAAGTTGCACATATTTTGCAGAAATTTAACTTTCGGGTTGTTTACTCTCCCATCAATAAAATTCCAACTTCTATACTCAAGGACCCCATTCCGGATATGAATTCCTGGGGTATTTATAGGATTCCTTGCCAGTGCGGTTTAATTTACATTGGCCAAACCAAGAGAGCCTTGAAATTTCGCGTCAAAGAACATGAGGCATATGTTAGAAAAAAGGAAACACAGAAGTCTTCTGTTGCTCAACATTGTTGGTCCGAAAATCACACTTTCAATTTTTCTGCTGCCAAAATTATTCAAAAAACATCTTCCATTGGAGAACTGGATTTTCTAGAGGCATTTCACATTCATAAAAATCTTTCTGTTCTAGTTAACGATCCTAATTCCAATCCAAATTTGCCTTCGGCTTTTAGAGAAATTATGTTTTAGTTCTGGTTTCACCACCAACAGATGGCGCCACTTGCTTATTCTTGTCCAGGCTTTCTTATCTTATCTAATCATTATTTCCTATCTTGTTCATTTGCGGTTTTGCAGCTGAAGATGATGGTTCGGTAAAAAACCATTGAAACTAGTCCTGTGAAAATTTTGTAGGTATAATATAAACGCTGACTTTTTGTTGTTTGACTTCTGAATCAGTATGATGGTTAGTAATCCTGACTGCCATACTTAATGGACCCATATTCTAATCCTGCAACCAACATGGATGTTTGAAAGTGCATAATGTCTGTGCAGCAAAGGCGGCACTCAAGATACAAGGTGAACTGAAAATCCTCTCAAGAGACTGAACTTGGTAGAAAGGAAGGAGGGGTGGGTGAGCCTTGGACTGCCTCCTGGTGTATTCCCCCTCAAAATTAAGGCACAGCAGCCACAGCCACCTCAAATAAAACATGTAATTTTATCCTTATAGTACTGCAGCATATAATGCATTCCCAAATTTTTAATATTTTCCATTTAAGGGTAAAAAACAGTTCATTTACAAGCAAAGCCTTTTGTCTAAATCCTGAAAGCATTCCAGAATAATCTGCATCATGAACAATGCAGATCTTGGAAATAAAAACAAGTGAATGATGTCAAAAAGAAAAGGATGTTAACTTCAAAATTTTAAATACTCCAGACACCAAAAAATACTTTACCAAGACTAAAAAATACTTTACCAATACCAAGACTTTAGTTGAATAAAATGGTAAACCAGCTAGCTTTACTTGGACATAATGGAATTTTTTTTAAGCTTGAGATATCTGCTTAACATTCTCCATATATATTTCAAACGTACTGCCCACTAGCTTTAGTCAAACATAATGAAATAGTCTTCTTGCTAATTAGCTTTAGTTGAACATAATGAAAATGTCTTCATGCTAACTAGCTTTAGTTGAATATAATGAAACGGTCTTCCTGCTAACTAGCTTTAGTTGAAAATAATTAATCATTTAATAGCTTTAGTTGGCCTTCGCTCTTTACGTGAATCAAACTAATGAAAATTTCTCACACATAATTCAAACACTGCACAGCAGGACTTTGGGAGGAGGGAAATAATGTTTTGAATGATTTAGAATATTTAAAATTCTTTAGCTTTTAAAGTTTTGATTCTCATTATGGTTCAGCAATTTATTTAGTGAACTTAGAAAATTCTCAAAAGCTCAACTGAGAAATTTTGCAAATGTTCAAAATATGTAATGGAGAAATATAATATGTAATTTAAAAGTAAATGCATTTAATAAAAAAAAATTCTTATAACAAAGAGTAAGGGAATTTAACATGTCTAATTGAAGTGATGAAAAATATTATATTTGATTTAATAAAACTGCTCAGAGGAAAATTCTGAAATGAGTGTCAATTTCTTTTTCTATTTCATTTTTAAACTTGTAAAGATTGAATGTATTTTCTTTCAGCCCAAAATCTACATTTTTCAAAAAATAGACAAAAATAAATTTTTATACATACCTTTTTGGTAAACCATCTATTATTAGTGAAACTAATATTCCTGTAACTGCTGTTAAAATCGGAAAATGGTCGATGGTTTCTAATCCTGGAATTTCCATGCTTGCAACTAGACAAAAGCATCCAGACTTTGATGTTACCCTGTTTAGAACTTGACAAACTAACTGAAATGAACAGTATGAGATTAAGTTACTTAGAATTCTGTATAACTATCATATTAAGTCATACTGTTTACATATGCATACTAATTTAATGTTTTATTTAAGTAAAAATCTTGTTAATAGTATATAAATCATATAAGCTTCTTAAATTTTACAATACTTTAACTAAGAATGTTCTTTGCACAAACTTGCAGAAATATATTTATTCTAATTTAATGAGATCAACAAATTTAGATAGTATATTGTAATCAGAACTCTAAAAAGAAGGTAACTTCAGTGACAATAAATAAATTGCACTTGTTATGAAATTTTAGTATAATTTATATAAAAAATTTATATCAAACAAAATATTTTAAAACTATAATTTCAAACACATTAAAAACTGTCAGATAAATTTAATAAAATTACATTTTATTTTTATTTTAAGGCAAGTAACACACAAAGCAATTAACAGTAATGCACTGTGAAGTAGTAAAACTGGCTGTAATATGTCAAAGAATGAGTCATACAATTCAATCACATCTTGATCTTTGACATTTGATGTAATTAAATAAACAATGTGACATTAAATACCAAAAAACATTTTTAACATCATAAACTTTTCTTTACTTGACAAAGACAAATATACCAGAAACTACATAAAATGTAACATATAGTTATACATACACAATTTCTATGTAAATATATGTTTAAAAACATAAAAACTTTATTTGTGTAACTATTGTCATCCTTCTGTACCAAGTTCTGCAATTAAATGCCATTCAGATGTATAATTCAAGTAAAACCCTAAGAGAACTTTTCATTCAAAATTTTCCTTAACCTTCTAAAATTGTTTTTTTCTTTCTCAGCCGAAAAACATGCACTCAGAAAGTACATTAAAATGGACACTCTTTAAATGCTGCTTCCACAAAGAGGATAATATGTGATACTAACAACTCAATATAGCAAAACATCATCAAACTTTTAATATAATATACTTTCATTTGCAACTGTGGTATATTTATCACCTAGGTCAGTGGTCTCAAACTCAAAGAGCATGCAGGTCACATGCATAACTTGAAAACAGCTAATATGCCAGATTTGCCCATCTACTTTCTTTCTTTCTTCTCTCTCTCCAGCCCCCTTTTTTTTTTAAATATTGAAAAGTTTTATTAACAAAAGAAAAAATATTTTTAACAAATTTTTAATTTTGCTTACTAAATATTTATCAAAACATGCATAAACAATAGTAATAATATCACAGAGAGAAAAAATTCAAATTTATATTTATTTTCAGGTAGAAGTTTACTACTTATAAGACATTTCTGTTGGTTACACTTTATAATTCAAATACACCAACAACTAAATATTACATTTTTAGAGTGACACTTCTTTCAAATAATTCTAACATGTTTAATTAATCACTAAATACCTTACTTTAATTCAAGCTAAAAATAAACAAATTATGAAAACTCTCCAAGTTTTGACAGATAACTTACCTAGTTGGTATAAACTTGAGAATAAATAAAACAACTAATATCTTTCTCTTATTTACTATCCACCAGTGGTTGAGTGGTAAAGTTGCTTTGCACTTGTAGTTCAACCTGGGATGGAATCCTGGCAAAAGGGCAGGCTGAATGGTTCATTTCACCGGTTTTTCCCATGTGTAACATGGAAACGAACCAGTTTCCCTTAAAAAGTCCTCCACAAAGGCATTGCTCCCCATAGGCAGATAGCCTTTGCAGTCCTTTGCTTAGCCAATTAATCTAAACCTTTCTCTTATTTATTTAGTTTTTCTTCGATGCATGAATAAAAAGACACATATTTATATGTAAATAATAATAAACTTCTTTATCATTTACTACAACTTGACAGTTGGTGGCATTTCGATTCTGATAAAAGTTTACAGCTTTAGACAGAAATTTCTAGAATTTATTTTCATCATGGATTGTAGATGTTCATTGGCCAATCTGGATCCTTTGCTATCAATTTTAAACTGCAAAACAAAAACTGTTCACACACAAATGTATTTCCAAAGAGATTATTCTTAGAATAAAATTTCATAAGAGCTGATTTATTTTTTGATAAGTATGAACAAAAGTTAATAAAAGGTGCATCCTCAAATATATGAATAACATTTATATCACATTGTAAATTAATTTGCTTCATTAATACATTTTGTGGTGCTTTGTTTATGTTGATTTTTAATGGAAATGAAAATAATGTAAACTTGGATTTGTAACTAAAATTTTTAAATCTTTCTTCAACAGCATAATTAAAATGGCACATAGGCTACCAGTTTCAGACCACTAACAGAGACCATCTAAGCCCCTTCGAGTCTATTACTCCTTTAAAAATTAGAAAATTTATACACTGTGCAATTTCTTTAATTAAATATATCTCTAACCCAAGCTATCATTCAGTGCTGCAGAACAGCAAATGCATCTATCCATTTTGTTACATCTGCCCATTTTTATATTCATCCATATGTATCATCCATTAATCTGCAATAATATTCTTTTAGAACAGATCCTACTTTGTATACTATGTTAATATTGACACCATATGGTAATCCCATTCAGGTGTTCAAATTCTTGCAACCTAATCATTAACATCTGATTATAAATCATAAAAACTACTCTTTGGTGACTTTTCACATGACAAAACCCTCTTAATGCAACCCTCTTAATCCTCTTTAGTTACTGCAGATAATAATGCAGATAAGTGTGTCTGCAATATACTAAGATATATTACAGACACACTCTATTATGAAAACATTATATTGAAATAAAATTCTTTTTCAGTGGCCATAAAAAAGAATAATGCATATCATTTTTAAACAAGTAATTCTGCTACTACTCACATCCCTCAACAAGCAGCACTTTACTTTTGATTCTTGCTCTCATGAAATAAAGGTGTATTCAAATTTTCCAAATAATCTTCTATTTAACTAAACCACATACTTATATATATTTAATATATATTTAAGTATGTATTTAATATATTTAATATATATTTAAGTATATGATTTTAATATATTTAGTATATTTAAGTATATTAAAAACATACTTAAATATATTAATATAAAATTAATATTAAAAAATATATTTAAAATATACTTAATATAAATTGTGTCCACTAAAGTCCTTACCCAGTCTTTATTTATGAAACTGTTGGTCACAGACATATACTTCCAATTAGAAAAAATGTTTTAAATGAATGCAGAGTCATATTTTCATATTATTGATTATTAATAATAAAAGCTGATGTTATATAAAATATGAAATTTAACTTTTTACATGTTTCCTCTGATCCCTAAGGAAAATCTTGTACTCATTATAAAAAACCAAACACAAAAATGTTTGATTTCCGTATAACAATAAGTGACTAAGGTATTTTATATTAAATTCAGGAATTGTATTCAGAGGCCATACGTAAATTGAAGAGTAAAATGTTTGCATTAGATGTAGTTAAAAATAAAATATAGTTTAAAAAAGTTTCTGATGCTCTTATTGTGATGTTATGGTGAAAAATATTATTCAATATAATTTTTTTTCAAAAATGAAGATCATATTCAGAGTCTTATAGAAATCATATTCTACAAAACACTAGCAGTTTCAGTATTGGCACATAGCCAATTCTACTTGCATTAATAAAAAATACCTGTACTTTAATGAATTTTTTGTGCAGTTACCAGATAATGATTTCAAAGTAATAAAGCTTCCTCAGAATACTTATAACATACTTGCTTTCACTTATGTGAAAATTCTTTCAGCATACCAAATGTAACAAAATTATGAATTAAAAGACACTAGTAAATCACAAAAGAATTTAGACACATAGAATTTAAGGGAAAAAATGAACTTGAACTATTCTAATTTATTTATTAACTGAATCCTCAATGCAAATTTTAACATATTGACTGCCGTGGGGATCACCGGCGGCCGGCACTCGACTTGGCTACAGCCCTGTGGGGTCCACCAGTGACCAGCGATGTGACCAATAGTAAAAATACATAATTAGGAGTAAATATTGATACTAATAAATTTTTAAATAACACCATTGTTACTATAATGGCTTGAAGAATAATAAATTGTAAAAACTTAACTAATAAATCGCAAAAATTACCCACAGCGCCTTGTGGGTCACCGGTGACCCCCATCACGAAAAATACATTAAACACATTTATATAACTCATCTTATCTTCCATAGATAATACTTCAATATAATATACATCGCATAATTAAAAAAATCCCATTGGCGCCATGGGCAAACCAGGTAAAATGTGCACGGCAGCCAACATGTTAAATGATGCGAAATATCACAAATTTTTTTTAAAAGATTGTCGTAAAAGAATAAAAACCATTTTGTCTTAATCCTTTATGACAAAAAGTGATATTTGTTTTTGTGTTTTGTTTTTATGAACAGTATAAAATTTTCCTAAATATAAGTACTGAGACTGAAGGAACGTGTAAAAAGATTAGATTCTGTGTTTTATGAAAAATTAATTTTTTTAAATTTTAAACTACAAAAACATGAATCTCTGCATCATTCAAAACATTTTTTTAACTGGAAGTATATAAGACCAGTAGTTGTAAAGATAGAGGTTGGGTAAGAACTTTTGTGGATATGGTATACAATTTAGTACTGAATGGAAAACTTCAATAATAAAACTAATTATTCTTTGAAAAGTTAGTCATTAAAAAAAGGAACAGACAGCTCTATATTATGGCATTTGTTCTATAAATGTCAATTAAACCAAAAAATAATTGTTCTATGCATGCAATTAAAACAACACACACACACACAAATGAAGTTTATAAGACATCAGACTCCATTACTGACAACAGTTCTAGAATTGTTCCACTGAAAGATTTTATGATAAAATAAAAAATTAATACATGTAGGAAGCCTGAAAAGCCACTGTGCACTGAATTAGTAATGGCAGCAACATTAATTTAAATAACTGTAATAATACTGAAACAGCCCATTCTTTCTAGTAATGTAGCCAGCTTGTCATTTAAATGTAACATCAAATGATGACTAACATCAAATTGATCACAAAATCCTCATTCCCGATATATACTAAAGCATAGGTAGATTTGTCTGGACATTGTGAAAATCAGTTTCAACATGTTGAATGTTGAACAGGTCAATAAGGTAAGATACATCTTGCCTAGCATGCACATTGGCTTTTCAGATACTATGCATGAACAATGCTAATTTAAATTACAGGCCAGAAATAAGTCTTTGAATCATGTAAAAGTAAATCATTTCAGTCTGACATCTGCAAGACAGAGAATTTATTCAATAAAATTCATAAAAATATTTTCTGTATACTTCTTATAGATCATAAGCATGAAAATCTTACAAAACTGAAACTTAAAATACAAGAAATTAGGTACTCCACCTGACATAATCTAGTTAGAAATATTTCTGATGATGGCCTTGAAGGATCTGTAAAGAGCTGAGGAACTAAATGTACAGTCATTTCTAGCACACGTAGCAATCCAAGAGCTAAATCGAAACAAGTGGCACAAATTTTGAGTTGCCTTGAATCAATAAAAACCCTCTCTGGTCTGTTTGAGGCATTCTGAATCTAAAACACAATTTTCATAAATGTGAATATAAAAATTGTCAGAATTATTATATGTTTAATGTTTACTTCTGGGGTAAACAACATTTAAGGCCACTTTAGTTAATCCAACAGCACATCAAAGATATATTTTATATAATAAAAAGCATTAACCTAGTTTGTGAAACCTTATACACTATTCATAAATTACACATAAAAATTAATATAGTCTTCTTCCTGCACTAAAAGAAACACTTAACTGATAATTCTTTCAGGTAAAGAACATTTAAGCAACTTTTTCCTCACTCCATATAGTGGTCTTAAAGATAATTAGCATGGCAGAAAGGCAAATTGTTTTCTCTTTCCTTCTTAGAAATACTTATATTAAGATATCAAATTCAAACTTTAGTATCAAATTCCTTAAGGCATTTAAATTTTTTTAGCTTATTGGACTTATTGCTTCTGAAAGCAGTGTTTTCCTCTGATAATGATGCTATAATGTGACCTATTTCCATTTTTAATATATTCGATACAAGACTTCTATTTTCATAATAAATTCTCTCATTAGATTTATTTAAGACATAGACATGAACTACTCTGATAATGTGTATAATACTTGGTATGTACTCATCATGTTCGCAATCATGCGAAAAAACCGATATAAAAAAATAGAAACTTAATCCTTCAAAATCATGTTTTTATTATTTATCAACCATAATACTATACTAAAAAATCTGATGTGTACACCACATGACTTTCTTGTATGGAATATTAAATTATATGCATTTTTCCCTGCATTTCATTTAAACTTATTTCCTCGAATTTCATTAGACATATATTTCTCATTCAATTAATTCAGTTCTCACTTCGCAACAAGGCAAAAATACATAAAATCTTAAAATATCTATATTAAAAATTGAAAGATATAGAAAAATATAAAACACCACATACAGTTAAAACTTTTTTTTTTTTTTTTTTTTTTTCATTTGGTCAAAATGGATATTTTTGTTGAAATATGGTACCCAGAATTTTTTGTAACTACAATTACTTCCTTTACTTTGTACAAGGAAGTAAAAATATGAAGAACTTTTTTATTCTCCAGGTGCTTTCAATGGCCATTTTATATTGAAATTTTACTAAAAATTCAAGACAAGAGCAAATAAGAAATTTGTTGTTTATAGTGTATCTAATGTCTAAGTCTGCTGCAATTAATTTCCACAAACTTTAAAACTATTCCAACATAAAATTTTTATATTTTATGACCATTTTTTTCTTAAAAATGGCTTAAATAGTACAGCATTCTTTTTCCGACTTAACTGAATTTTGTACAGTATTTTATTTGAAATTTCATTAAATTTTTTTTTAAATGTTTAGTAATCTGTAAATTTATTTTACATTTTTAACAATCTTATTTAGGATAACTGGTACAAACTACTGCAGGATTGCTAATATTATTTAAATGATAATTTAATATTTTGCATAATGTTTTACCCAAAATAGCTTTTCAGAGACCGAAAGTAATGCCATAATGCCACAATATTTTGCAAGTTACACTAATGGAAATCTTTCATTCAACCCAATTGATGAATATGAGGAGTTTAACAAATTAAATGACATTAAGGTTGTTTCAACTACAAATCCCTAAAGGGCTAAACTGCTGTTGGCTTTTCCCGTGACGAGGGAAAAATATAATTAGAACAGACGGAACGATAATATGAAGAGATATAAGAGATATAATAGATTTGCCCAGCACTGTGCCATGCAAGATATTTAAAATTTGTTTGAATTATGTTTGTTACTGTTTTCAATAAATAATCAAAAGACACCTATTGTAAAATGAATGACTCAACACCTCAAAACAAAGACATTATATTGTTAGTGACACGGACATGATTTATGATTAACACTAACCTTTGCATGAAATGTGGATCTTTGGCTTGTAAGTTTCTGATTCACGACTGTGGAATTGAGATAGGTCCCTTTAGATTCAGCTTCTGAGGTGTTATGATTTTGTATGTGATAGGAAGTTTTTGAGTTTATAGTGGTGATTTGATTATTTAGATGTTGTAAATTGATCAGAAAATTAGTTTTGAAAACAGAAGCAGTTTACGCAAACATGGTGAAAAAAGTTAAAAGGGTAAGGTTTCGACAGCTTTTTTTTTTTTTTTTTTTTTTTTTTTTTTTTTTTTTTTCTAATCTTTTAACAAAAATTGAAGACACAATAAATAAAACTTTAAGTGAAATTTACAGAAAAGAACAAAAACTTGATGATCTTTATGACCAAAGAAACCAGTTGAATGAAAAGATAAAGTATCTTAAGGATTTAGATAATGTAATAGAAGTGATAATCGGTATATATGAGTTAGAAAACGAAATTACTAAGAGTGAAGAATATCAGGAATGCGGTATTCAGTAGGCATATAGAAAGTGTTCTTAACATGGCTTCACAAAATGAAATTTGGGTTAACAAATAAAATGAAAATGTTAGGCTAGAAAAACGTGTAGTAAGAAACGAAGTTAGCAAAGTTAAGCTTCTGAAATTAAGCACTGTGAAATTTGGTGATGATTATAGATCTTGGTTGGATTTCTGGAATTCTTACGAAAGAGCTATTTGTAATAATGATTTTTTAAGTAAGTTTGAGAAGTTTTCATATTTGAAAACATTTTACTACCTTGTCAGCAGTTTCGGGATTTTCGTTAACAAACAAAAATTATGATTCGTCAATTAAGCTATTAAAAGAAAGATTCAGAAGGCTAGATTTGATTATAAGCTCGCACATGAATAAATTGTTGCTGATCATGCACGAATGTTCTAGTATTGCGAAGAATGCATGATACGATTGAAATTGAAATTCAATCATTAAATCTTCATCACATACTGCAGCAGCCACTTACAGTAGTTTACTTTGCCCAGTAATACTATAAATAAATTCTAGAGGAGTTTGTATTACAATACAATAGACAATGTGAATTGTGTGAATCATTTGACATAGAACATCATTTGATATAGTCAAGTTTTTGAGAAAGGAGGTAGAAATAAGAGAAGTGTCTCCATTATTATCAGATTAAAAAAAAACCTTAAGTGAAATTAAATTCCTGTTAGTAATAGGGAAACGAGTCAAAATTATGTAGACCCAAAACGAAACGTTTTAAAAGTGCGCATTCCAACAGTGGCTGCTTTAATAACAAAATGAAATATGTAATTTTTATTTGGATAAACCTCACATAACTCAGAATAGTCTGTCATTAACCGGAAAAAAAAAATTTGTTAAAAGCACATGGACAATGTTACAGTACAGGCATACATCAAAATTTTGCTGGAAAAAAAGACAAGCTGCACCCAATATGTAAAAAACCTCACAATTATTTAATATGTGATAAGGCTGAAGGGACAAATAATTCAGCCGAATCAAATACAATAAAGAAACGGAAAGCAATTTACCTATGGTACACTCATTGCATTCCTTCGGAAATAAAAGGGAATCTTTAAACAAAAATGAAACAGCAGAAATATCCTAGCTGGTTTTATTACAAAAATTTAGCGCTATAGTAAAAACAAATAAAAAAATGAAATGGTGAGGGTCTTAACAGATGGTGGGAGTAACAGAAAGTTTATAAAAAAGAAAACTGCCGACTCATTAGGATCGAAGGTTACAGGACGCGAAACATACGAAATATATGGGTTTGCTAGTGAGCATAAATCTAAATAGCTGTATAATATAACTTGATTTAATTTAGAATTAACCTTAGTAAAATATTCAGCATAGAAGCGGTGGTAACTGATGCGATTACACATGGCCACATAGATATTCCTTCAAAGTAAATTACAAACATGTCTCTAAATAAGGGAATAGAAATGCCTTATACTAAAAATATGAAAGAGATAAACATTTTGATTGGCTCAGATTACATTTGGGAAATTTTTTTATGAAATATGTAATTAAGGAAACAGTTATTCATAGATAGTCTGTTTGATTTGTAATCCAAGCTATAGAAATGGGATTGAACAATCATGGAAATTATGATTAATTATGATTATAATAAGATTTATATAAACCATACCTCTGTGAAGGAAGAATTCAGAATTTATGGGATTTGGAAGCTATAGAAATAAAATAGGACAAAGAAATTTTGTGATCAGATGCTGATGTCATAAGCATCTTTGAAAAAAGGACAACGTATAAAAATGGTCGGCATGAGACTAAATTATCATGGAAGCAGGGTTGTAATGCATTTAACAGTAATTATGAAGATGAAGAAAGACATTTGATAAGCTTAAATAATAAATTTAGACATGATCGGCAGCTGCACTTTTCGTTATAAAGAAATAATTAATAAGCAGTAAAGAGATGGTATTTTTGAGCAAGTTGCATATGATGAAGATGATGACAGAAAAATTGGGTATTTTATACCTCATCATGCTATTGTATACGAATCAAAAAAAAGCACAAAAGTTAGGATTGTGTATGATGCATTGTGTCAAAGTTAGAGATGGACAGTCGCTCAATGATTGCTTAGATCAGAGGTAGGGAACTTTTTTATCATGAGAAGCCCCATTTAAATTAAGCAGTGATAAAGGAGGCTGCATAAGTTGATATACCTATAAATGCGAGTACTGCGAAATTTTTATAGCTTTTGCATAATTTTATCACTTTATTGCATTATATAGAAATAATGCAAAAAACATTTCATCATTTATTAATATAACAATTTACAACACAGTACAAAGTCCGTAACCCGGACTCGTCTTGACTTCGGCGATTTCGGATTATAGACCATCAATTTAAATCTGGTAAGATGGCATGCACAAATTATACAATTAAAAATATGAAACCATAATTTATGAAATAAAGAGCAATTATGATCTAAAGGGTATCAAAATTTACAAGAAAAAAGTTTAATATTTATTTGTTTACTTTATTAAACATTTCTTTCAATGTAAGTTGTTTAAGTTGCTTCATTTTTTTGTGGTAAACACACATGCGTAAACATTAAACACGTATGCGTAAACGTATTACACGCAT